TCTCATGAAGTCAATGTTTGGCATTTTCCAGATGCGTTCAGAACCCAGCTTTCCAATAAAAGGCCTAAGCTACACAGTGGAGTGCAGCATTGCGACATCGCTATAGCACAAAGACATGAAAAGATAAACAAGGCCGACACAGGGAGATTCAGCTTCCCAATACTGAAATAATTTTGAAAGCTCCAATTCCACTTGAAACTAAAACTTTTGAGTTTTTCATCCAAGTGAGACATTAGAAACTTTGTGTCTGCCCTTGATTCAACTCCTTCCTTCCCTTTCCTGCAGTGACGCTACTGCTCTGCAGGTCACCTGACAAGGTGATCTTTGGGATTAGGACTTCTTTCTGCTGGTAACTCCCCATCCACCCCAATCGATCATAATCTAACTCTTCGATCTGTGCATAAATATAATTAAATTACATCTGACAAATTCTATAACCCCCATGCTTTTCAAGGGTCAACCATAAAAATGTGATACTATGGTTGGTTCATCAGCACTACCCTTTTTCTAAAAAAAAAGCAACACAATAAAAGTTATAGTGGTCACTTTCTAAGCAGGCATATAAGAAGGCTTGGAAATCACTTCTTGTGGCATCATCTTGAAAGTGAAAGCATTTTTTCTAAAGATATACATGCAGCCAGGAAATGTTTGCAAAGATCAATGTGTTCCCACAACAAGCTTTTTATTAGGCATCAATTAGGGGACCCAAATACATTCAAAATATTATCAATTATTAATTTAAATGGGACAAAGGTAGCCAAGATAAAGTGTGAAACATACTGTCAAACTTTTAAAGGAGGCAGATGTTCAAATTTCTTGTTAGAGTTGTACTTTTTAAAAAAAGCTTTTATTTACCTCAGAGCAAAGACTTATCATAAATAATTACCAACAATGTTTCTGCATTGTGAGCAATGTTTTCGTGATGTCCAGTTAATGTAGCAAATCTATCTCAAAATACCTCTTAGATGGGGCTGACAACACCCAAATATGTTAAATCCAAATCGGGAGAAGGAGAATTTTACTTAGTTCTGCCACACACTGTATGGCATAAACACCCATGAGCACATACTTTCCAAAAACATTCAGGGACGAAGTAAGGACACAGGAAAGCCTACGCAATAACCAATTATCCAAAAGAGGAAGTGAAGTATTCCACATCTGTAAAACTTTGTTTACACAATGAACTCTTGGAAACCTGCTGAATTTTTTACAGGGGAGTAAGTCCTAATTAGAATAATAGAAGGGTAGTACATACACATATATTTGTGTATGTGCATAATCTGATATTTATCTGTAAAGGATTTATTAAAAATATGAAAACCTGCCCTTACTACTTAAATTAAAATTTGGCAGTGGAGAGGATTATTTCTACTACTAGCTGCCAGTGACTCAGTTTCCCCACGTGTCTAACGTTCAGATAGACAGAAGCTGCTCCTAGGGCAGCTTTCAGAGCTCAGTTCAAACAGCATCTCCTCAAAGAGGTCTTCCACGCTCTTCCTCCAAGTCCACAGCTCACTGCCTTCTCAGCTACAAGGACTCGGGGCACACCAGGCTTCCCTTTCAGAACACCTCTTAAACTGCAAGTAAGCAATTCCTTGTGTAAGTATACACACGTGTACACAGTGTATGAATGCATATTCTTAATTGCTTAATATCCGTCTCCCCCTACCAGTATATTAAAGCTTTATGAGGAAATTTCCTATATTCTGTTCCTTGAATCACATATACACAGAGTAAATATTTGATCAGCGAATTAACGACAGTTACTGCTTCATCCACCTTAATCAAGAACTATCACTGAGTAAGCCTGGAAAAAATAGGTATTTATGAAAGCTATGCAAAAACAATTCAGCTTTCATACCGGGAATATCAGTGCCCATGTCACTGAGCAAGGTGGCCCCAGTCACTGCCTTGTTCTTTGCCAATCATTTAGAGAGCATGAGAAGATTTCTCTCAACCCTCAATCCTTTCTTTCTACATTCATACTGGTTGAAGTTAAATTTGTTTGATATTAATTATGCATACTCTTTATAGGGCCCAGGGAAACAATTTCTAACTAAAGTGATTTTCAACAAGATATATAAAGTATAATATATCATAAAAGGAAACTTAAGACATCTTTGGAACATTTGAACTGTAATAATATATTGACATTTCAATCACATTTGACTGTTTTGTTTGGGTGCAGATCTTCCCATCATTTATGAAATGTGTTCCTTGTCAAGAGGAGGTGGCCTCACAGCGTCAGCAGGACAGCTTTGCATCTGACATGGAGTGTGGGCACACCCTGGGCAGCAGGCGTCGGGGCTGCCTAACACCGGAGCCACCATAACAAGAATCCATTTCCTCCTGTGTTTAGCGGTTCCTGCCACTTTTGACCAGCTACTTTACTTTTTACTCCGTCTATTCTAAATAGATTTCCCCATCTCGTGACTTGCTCTTACTCATGCTTTCTGCTCACTCACATCATACTTACTCCTGACTTCCTTCTTCTTTTCCTATGTCTTTCAGCTTTTACTAATACAACCAGTTAGCTACCTTGCTCTGTCTTGTGAACTCAGGTCTTCAGACCAGGCTGAGTCACCATCATCCCTGTTAGGCAACGTTCTTGTGCAGCCCCCATCAAAGGCACCGGGTAAGTCTACAAACCAGTCACCTGGATCCAGCCAGCTGTCACCAGAGGGGTGACAAAAAAAAAATAAAGTTAATTTGGGCCTCATGGCCTTGGATAGCAAACCTCTGGGAAAAGGAAATAACAAGAAACTAGGGTCAAGAACAAGAAACTAGTTCACTGATAGAACCACTTAATAACTAAATTTGAGGTGCAGCCAAGTGCCTTATTTTTTCAAGTGGAATAACTGTAATTCAGATTTTGCTTTCTCTATTTTACTCTACTATCGTCTTTCATGTTTGATACTAAATAAAGAAGAGTGAAAAGTGGCAAAGATCAAAATGCCATGGTATAAACACAAAATCAGTAACTGGGCCCTCTGTTCTAATATTGACTTTTTACCCTTTTAATCTATTTTTTCACCCTATTTTTCATCAGAACTCTGCTGTGCCCAAATACAAATATAATAGACAAGGGCCTGAGAATTTTGTTCAGAACTGTAGAAAGTAAATGAAGTTCCCACTTGGGCCATATCCAGTTTTCTGCCATCACAAACTCTTATTCAACCCTGTGTAGGAGAAGCAAATTACATAAAGAAGGGAACAAAACTTCCCTTTTATCTAGTTTTTAAGTCTGAATATTTTTTAAAGTTATTTTGGTAGGCTTCTGGTGATCATGCATCATCCCTGTTAGGCAACGTTCTTGTGCAGCCCCCATCAAAGGCACCGGGTAAGTCTACAAACCAGTCACCTGGATCCAGCCAGCTGTCACCAGAGGGGTGACAAAAAAAAAATAAAGTTAATTTGGGCCTCATGGCCTTGGATAGCAAACCTCTGGGAAAAGGAAATAACAAGAAACTAGGGTCAAGAACAAGAAACTAGTTCACTGACAGAACCACTTAATAACTAAATTTGAGGTGCAGCAAGTGCCTTATTTTTTCAAGTGGAATAACTGGAATTCAGATTTTGCTTTCTCTATTTTACTCTACTATCCTCTTTCATGTTTGCTACTAAAAAAAGAAAAGTGAAAAATGGAAAAGATCAAAATGCCATGGTATAAACACAAAATCAGTAACTGGGCCCTCTGTTCTAATATTGACTTTTTACCCTCTTAATCTATTTTTTCATCCTATTTTTCATCCGAACTCTGCTGTGCCCAAATACAAATAAATATAATAACAAGGGCCTAAGAATTTTGTCCAGAACTGTAGAAAGTAGATGAAGTTTTCCCACTTGGGCCATATCCGGTTTTCTGCCATCACAAAACTCTTATTCAACCCCGTGTAGGAGAAGCAAATTACATAAAGAAGGGAACAAAACTTCCCTTTTATCTAGTTTTTAAGTCTGAATATTTTTTAAAGTTATTTTGGTAGGCTTCTGGTGATCATGTATGTCTTCAAGTACTTATCTTCACAGATTTTTAAGTTAATAAAATTATCAGCATGGTATATTCTAAATCTAAGTTAGTTTAGTTTAGAAAAATATCTTGCTGGATTATTTATTTATCTGTGGCTTGGGTTCCAAAAAGGAAGTTTATTATCATGGAAGGGGGAAAAATCTTGGAGATAGGAAAAGATAGTAAATTATTCAAATAAATAAGTTACTTTGTCATTTGAAATGTCATCAGTATGTTTGATGATTACTATCATTCATACAAATATTCATTTCATACTTTTGGAATATAAAAACCCACAAAGTTCAAGATTAGAAAGAAATGTTTATTCTATCAGCAAGTGTCCTAAATGTGTCAGCTGCAATGTTTATCAGTTCATAATTAGGAAAGCTAATGCACCATCAAAAAGGAACTTATACAAAATAATATACAAAAGGTAAGGTTCTAGTCTCAACAGATTTTATGAGGATAAAAATAGGGACTAACTCGTTTTTTCCAACTATGGGAAAATTAGGGGGGGAAAAAGCAATTATGTTCTATGGTTATGAGTGATTCTTAGCGAAAAAATTATAGCATCTTCCCGTTTCATGTACTAAATTTGTGCATTTTTTTTATTCTTTGCTCCAAACTGTTTCTTTCATCTGACAAATTCAAGAAAATTAAAATTGTATTACTGAGGACATATGAGGAATTTAATCTTGAAAGAAGTGAACTACAATGAAGTACCATTGTGATATTTTGATATAAAATCAGAAAGATACTGAGCGTTAAGAAGCATAATATTTCTATGATTTAAAACTAAGCCTACTGGGAGAGGAAGACTCATTTTGAATGACTCACCAATGCGAGTGCACTGAAGCCAACATATTCCTTTGATGAGACTTGATGTTCGTTGTCATGATAAACCTAAAACCTAGGGTATTATCAATGACCCATGCTACAAGAAACCAAAGTTTAATCACCCATGCTCCAAGAAACCAAGGTCAGAACCAAGAAGTGGAACCATTTTTTATATCCCGCATTTATTTAAGCAAACCAAGTTGTAGATAGGAAATTAAAGCGTTCTAATGTTTTACAAATACAGAAAGAAGACACAGAAAAACAATACCCTGAAGAAAGTGCATCTGAGAACATAGTTCTGTCCCCGGAGGACACCTGCAGTGACCACACAGCAGCCATGGCTGACACATCCATCCGTCATTCTTGTTATTACATCGGTCAGTAGTTCTAATAGATAATTCAGCGATTTGCCTTTAAACAAATAATAATACTAATGATTCTGGTAGCCTTGAAGGGTTTGTGAGTGACTACACTGTACATACATGATATTAGGCGTAATGTGTTATTTCAATGCCGCTGTACATTATGCAGGGGAAATAATGCCTTATTACCCGATTACTGTGACACCCACTAACATGTGAACTAGTTTGCATAGGTGAGTCCTTTGGGCAGCATGATGTTGCTCTAGTCCACCAAGGCTTCAAGATTCACAGTGTAGAGGAAAAAAACATGAATTAAAGCATTTCTACTAAAATATATTTTAATAGCTGGTGTTAACAATTTGCATGACAAAAGCCAGATTATATTAGTAACATTGGGTTGTTTCTTCTGTGAGCCCCTTCATTTTAAAAACATTGTTTCCTTCAAAACTGTAAGCTCTCAAAGTTAGTAAAATCTTGCAAATTAAATCAACCACAATTCTACACATTTTGAAGTAAATAAAAGCCAAACTGCACAGTGATTCAATTTTGCACTTTTATCACAAGTCAAAGACCAAACTGTTCCACGCCATGCCTGTGACACACCCGCTGCTGCTTCTAAGATGCTCAGCCATTCATTGTGTGGACACTGAAGAATGGGACTATAATGCAGATTTCTTTTTTTCCTTTAAGTAAAGCATTCTTAATAGCACTGGATTACAAAGAAGTATACACTATGCAAACTGAATACCATATATCTAACACCAAAAACATATGGAATTTCCATGAATACACTAAAGTAACATGGACAACTGGGGATGAGATTTGCCCTGGGGATCCTTCCAGGCTTGTGGACTCCAGGAGCCTAAGCATCCTGGAATGATGACCACAGAAGCATTATACAATGTCATGAGTTTTTGGATCATCGATAGTTGACAGCAGCCTGGGAAGGACCTAATGGGCAAGGAATACTTGAGAAGGAGACTTTCATTTATCATTTGTTTACATAGCTTCTTCCTGAACTAAAGCTTTCTCAGCACCATGTCACGTTACCCAAAACAAGCACACTCCAGCCACTTTTAGATGATCAGAAGCAAATAGCTAAGATATAATGAATTTGTGAAGTGAATTTCATCTTGTGTAATGAATTCAGCCTCATAATATAGGTATTTTATACCTCAAGCCCAAAATTAATGTTTATGCAGCTCAACTATATATAAATCTACAAAGGACCGTTCAAAAATTGGTGGAAAGAGTCAGTATTTTCTAAATTCCTAAACCTTTAGAAGTAAAATAATCAGCTATCACCCTTCATACCTGTCAGGAGCGTCTTACTTCCCCACCACAAAAATACCAATCATGTGTAATAAAATATTACTATAGGATAAGCAGAAGCTTGCTTTTCTTTCCCAGGCAATAGTGGACAAACAAGGGTAATCAAAAAGGCACCTATTTTTGTATATATCTATATTATAATTTTGGTATAAACTATATCTACTTTATATAGAGATGTGTTATTAAAGGATCACACACATTTTCTCTGTCTTTTCATTAAAAACATTCCACTGGAGTTGAACAAATTAAAAAAAAAATACACCTCTTCAACTTCCACTGTTTTAGAAAAGTTGGCTTCCCAACCCCCAAGGTGTTGTAGAGCTCAACACAGAGACGATAAGGGAAAAAAAGACTGTGGCAAAACGGGCAAAACCGCATCTTTACCATCTTCAAGCAATGACTCCAGTGGCAAGGGAGGGGCTGGGCTGGTCTCATCCCTCTTCACACAAGGTGCTTGGAAATTGTGCTTGCACGTTCCTGGGTGGTGTCTGGAGGTGGGGGGAGGCCTGAGAAGATGCAGGGACATCTGGCAACCAGATAAATGCTAATGTGAGATTACAAGAAGACACAAAGAAGTCATTTTGCCACAGGTGAGAGAGAGAAAGCTTCCTTGGAGACTAAGAATTCATAAAAACACTTGCTACAAAAACTGCTTTTCTCCAGAGAGGTGTGATCCGCATACAGCTTGGTTTCCGAAAACTTGAAAAGTCTATCACATCGCTCCTTGTGCTTTTGTCAGGCTGGAGGACATGGGCTTAGGCAAGCAGGTGCGTGCTCTCGGTGCTTGGGCACCCAGTCTTCTGTAACTTGATTTGTAAAAAGGCTCGTTTCTTAGACCCTTGCTTAGCTGTCAGCGTTATGTATGATACCTCTTGCCAAACTGAAGCTGGGCAGGTACCGTGTTGAAAGAGGAAAAGCTATTCAGCGATGTAGCTTTGAAAATGATTCTGTAAAATAGCACTTTGGTATGAATACACATAATTCCTATATTTCTGCTGAGATGCTTAATATCCTGACAAGCTTTAGTGACAATGACAACACTATCAAGTGAGAGTGTCAGAAGCATGTGACATCTTGTTCTCCCTCAGTCTTTACTGTAAAATAACCTCCCTCTCGTTACATTCTGATCAGATCTGAATTCCTAAAGGCTGGAAGCAGAAACATCTTACTATGCAAACATTATGTAAAGCTTACAATTTAGGAGAATTATTCCCCAAGTAAGTATTGACTTTTACATTCAATGAACCCGATTTTGAAATCAGTGGATGAGAAAAACAATGAAATATCAAGCTGCTACTTTATGGTAACTTTTCCCCATTATCCTTATCATTTTAAGTCAGTTTTCTTTGAGTTCCCTATAAATGTGCTATTTATCAAAAATTATATCTGTCCTACATTTAGTCTGCAAAATTTAATCAACAACGACTCCTTTTTTATAATCGTGAAAAGAAGTCTGGGTGAAACGTAAATATTTATTTAATGGTATAATAAAAATGAGCAAGCTCATTTCCCTCACTTTTAATGCACATAAATTTTTGCAAGAATACTGCAAATTAAGTTTGTGTTTGTAGGTTTGTGTACAGGACATCAAAATTGATATGGGGTTTAATCAATCTAATCATGACCGGTCATTTCAATGATAGAAAATCAGTCAAACTGCCTATTCCGTAAAGCTCACTCAAAAAAAGTCTCTAGTTATTTGCCTGAATTTTGTCTCTCTTCAATTTTATGTCGGTGTCATGCAGATGAAGCTTGCGTGCAATAAATTTTATTCTATTTACTCTTTTAGCTAGATAAGATGAAACTACAGATTTTTAAAAGTATTAGCTAAGCTTTCAAAGGTGTTAATAAATTAATGTTTGCCTTTGGACTGATAAACATTTCAATAAAATATATTTTGTTAATTTCTTTGATTAAAAGGTATAAGGAGATATCCCCAACCCATACATTTTATTACATTTTTGAGACTTAGCTTTTTCAGCTTCACCTCAACTATAGAGTCAGATCCTACATGAATGCTACCCTGTTGCAGGTCCCAATAAATGACACAATCAGAAAAACACAGTTGCTGATGGATGTTAATCTCAGGTGATCTTGACTGTGGACTCAGGTGAAAGTCACAACCCACAGGCAAAGGCTGCAGTCATGGCTGTGAATCCAGAAAGAAACTGCAAGGTCACTCGTTTGAAAAATCAAAATCTGACAACAATTCCATTTTCAGTGAACAACCTGTGCCTGGACCTAAAATCTCTGATGACATTCCTATCTCACCCCTTGAATGTGATTTAGAAAGTAAAAAGCAGAAAGTGACAAGAAAGTCTTTTCTTTTACTAGTTTCAGCAGCTACATTTCCATTCCAGAATTTGAAAACCTTTTCCAAAACAAGAAACCAGATCCTCTCTCTCTCTCTCTCTCTCACTCTCTGTAGATTGGATCGGTCACTTTTTGTTCACTGGTGTTCTCTAGCACACTTCCTATCCCACTTTGTCATTGGCTCCTGTTAAGTTTTCTTAACTTTTAAATCAGCAGCGGCATTAAGTTAATGAAAGCTGTTCAATAAACACCTAAATCACTTATTTACTAGAGTATACATCTATTTCCTAAAGTGTACATCCTTCAAAACTAGAGTGCAATGCAGGAGAATCTCAAGCAACTTTTCAAATTATGTTTTTCTGATGAGCTGACAACTAGAGGAAAGGCTTTTAGATATCAGCCACACTTTTAGATCTAGTAGGAGTAATGGGCAGTGCAGCTGCCTATGTTACAGAAGCTTGAACCTACATGTCATGCAACAGGGTAAAGGCTATTAGGGAAATCATATAGATGGCCTTAAATCTGCCCTTTGCAGAGTAGCTATGAAGTTATTTGGTCCTGACATTCTGTGGAGCCAAGAATACGTGTGGGTCCATAGAATGTAAGTGGAGATTAGGATATGTCTTGGTACAAATAAGAAATAAATAGACCCAAGTTGGCCAAGGAAACAAAAAATTTCTTTGTTCAGTAGAAGTTTCTAGGTCCCTAAGGCCACCACTCAATATGATTTTAACAAAACTGTCATTTTGCCATTGCTTACTTTATTATACTAGATGATTTTCACTGGAATTGGAAATTGTCTAATGACTCCAAAGCTACACGGTTTTTAAATTATTGGCTGTGTTGCTGAATTAAGAGAATTGGCTTCTGGTGATTCCAAAGTGACAGCTAAGAAGTCTCATATACGCGTTACATTTACAAGACAATCAACGTCTCTATTAAAGTCTACAAAAATACATCTTCCCAGAAGGGTTCAGTAGCCAATCAAAAAAAAACCAGTAATACAATTAGCAGCACCAGGTCTCCAGACCTAATTATTTTGTTTACAGGAACTACTGAAAATGCTGCTGTTCTCAGCCCAGAAATCATTCCTTCTTCCTGGTACCTGTGTGTCTAATTGTCAAAGTAAGGGTAAATTATTGTAAAATAACTGCCAAGTTGTCTTAAAAGTGTCTTCTATCTTTTAAAAAGACTAGGTTTAGTATACATTAGAGTAAAGCTCAAAGGGCAAGGGGAAATAATTAATTAACAAACTCAATGTAATTTGCTGGGAGCATCCCGGTTTTCCCAGTTCTCTGCACCGTGCCGTACATCCAGCCGTCATCGATGGGCTGTACGTTGACAATGTAGTCGCCATCCCTGAAGGAGACTTCATCTTCATCCTGGGCACTGTAATCGTACATGGCTCGGTAGGTCCTCTGAGAAAAGAAAGACGGGGTCACTATAAATACCAATATAGTCATGGCCACAAATGCCAATCCCAACCAACCAGACCATTCAGAAAGCAACCGTTAGGAATGTTTCCAAGTACATTTATTTCTGGAGAGTTGTACACCAGAGTCTAGTGTCCTAACTGCTCATCTCAAGTTTACTAGGCTAGCAAAAAGCTAACATTTGGGGGCCAGAACGGGGATAGAGCAAGCCACTAAATACAATTGCTAGCCTGTCAAAAAGTAAGCTTTAAAGTAGTGAAGCCCAACTCCCCCCAGGTTTGGCTAACCTCAGAGACATCAGGTGACATAGATTCTCCCCTAGTCCACAGTCTTCAGAGAATAAAACCTGCCACAGTGGCAGGTAGATCCATGTCACTGCCAAGTCACAACAACTGGCCCCTGGCAGAGGAATAAACTTTTCTTAAGCAAGTATTTAAAATGTTTGTTTCCTCTTAAAAATATACAAAACAAATAGAAGAAAAAATCAATAATATACTAATTTTTTGGCTTTTGTAGAAATTTTTTGGCTTTTGGTAGAGATTTAGCATATACATGTTCTAAATATTAGGGTACATATAACTAAATCTCTATTATAATGAGGAAAATGTTTACTTCCTCACTTCAAACTATGTTATAAAACTATATCATCAATACAGTATAGTATTGGCATAAATCAATGGAATGGATAGAGAGCTCAGAAATAAACCTATACATATACGGTCAATTAATTTATGACAAAGGACCCATGAATAGACAATGTGGAGAAAACAATCTCTTCAATAAAAGGTGTTGGGAACACTGGACAGCCACATGCAAAAGAATAAAACTGGACCACTATTTTACACAATACACAAAAAATTAACTCACAATGGATTAAAGATACGAATGTAAGAAACGAAATAATAAAATTCCTAAAAAAAATGTTGGTCTTGGCGATGATTTTTTTATTTGACACCAAAAGCAAAGGCAACAGAAGCAAAAATGAATGGGACTACATCAAACTAAAAAGCTTCTGCACAGCAAATAAACCAGCATTAAAATGAACAGGCAACTTACTGAATGGGATAAAATATTTATAAATAATATCTCTGATAAGTGATTAATATTCAAAATATAAATTGAGTTTTACCATACTTGTTTTCATTTAAGGCCAAGAGTTTAGTTAATATTAACATCAGATGATCCCAAAATCAAATGAATTCATACACTGAGGAAACTGACTGAGACACAAAGAATTTTAGAGCAACTAAAGATAAATTTCAAACTGCGGGGGTTGGTGCGGGGCACCTGTTTCTAAGTTCTCAAAGGGCCAAGTGACTGTGTCAGTTGCTTGGAGAAGCAATTTCAGCATGAGATGTCACATTTGACACCAACATGACCTGAACAGCGCTTCCAAACTTGACATTTAATTAATGAATTAATGCTTCAATGTTTCCAATGGGAGGATTCAAAGACATGTTGGCCCTGTCATTTAGGTTTTAGTGGCCATTTTGATTAATGTCCAGATTAATTAGTTAGTATGACCAAATATTTATGCTTTACAAGCATGAATGAAGATCATAACTGGCTAACACCAATAATAAAATAACAATTAGGGTATTGCACTAGTAGAATCTTTGTGTTTCATTGTTTACATGTTTCCACATCATACCTTCCCTTCTCAATAGTTTATCTCTATAAGTCTTTTGCTTCCTTCAAAAGTGTTTTACCAATGACAGCACATCATCCTTTATTTGGAAATGTACATGCCCATTGACAGATGAACAGATAAAGAAGTGGTACATATATACAATGGAATATTACGCAGCCATAAAAAGAATGAAATTTTGCCATTTGCAATAACAAATGGCTTAGAGGATATTATGTTAAGTGAAAATGTCAGACATGAAAAAGATAAATACTGTATCATTTTGCTTATATGTGGAATCAAAAAAAGAAACAAACAAAAAATCCCAAATGAACAAACAAAACAAAACAGCCTCATAGATAACAGAGAGCAAACTGATGGTGCCAGAGGGGAAGAAGGGTGGGGGGAGTGAGTGAAAAAGGTGAAGGGGGATGAGAGGCACAAACTTCCAGTTATAAAACAAGGAAGTCATGGAGACATAATGTACAGCCCAGGGAAGCTAGTCAATAATACCACAGTAACTTTGTATAGTGATGGATGCTTACTAGATCTACTGCGTGGTGATCACAATGTAAAGTAAGTAAATGTCAAATCACTATGTTGTACACCTGAAACTAATACAATATTGTATATCAACTATATGTTAATAAATGATAAATGTTAAAATATAAAATAAATAAAAATTATTTTTCCATGCGTATTTATATTTTGGAGATGAAACAGGAACACTGGGCAAAGAGAAACACTTCAAACCCACACTTACTAGATTTGGTGAATGCTGCATTGACCTCATGGATGACAGGCTGGTCTGGTGCATGTACCCGTAGCCTTGGGAATGGCTCTGCTGGTAGGCTCCAGGAAGAACAGGTGCTGCACATTAAATACACACACACAGGTTCCTTAAAGCAAATCTCAAAACCCCTTCCCACCCCCTCAAGTGACTTCATGCTCTGCTAGCATCTTCTGAAACAAAACGCCATTTTTTCAGTACAATGTGACATTTGGGTAGTGATGTTATAAGCAATCTCTAGGTTAGTATAAATTCAGTAATTAAGGACATATACAGGGAATCAGTTAAACATGCAGTTAACTATATTAGAAATATTTCTATAACTCCATTGCAGTTGCTATATTAAAATAACACAAATACAAAAAAATGAATTTCCCATAACCTCTTAACAATATTATATTTTCACTTGGCCATGTGATCCTCTTAGATTAAAAAAAAAGACATTTAAAGAAATTTAATTAGATTGTCAAACCAATGACAGAGTATAAATGTTTTCACTGTATACTTCACACATAAGAGGATGCTCTGCATATTTCAAGACATACAGCTGAATGTTACCTTTACAAAGATGATAAGCACAGCGTATGTTTAGCAACATATGCTTGTTTAGCAGTAATAAGTCTACACCATTAAAATAAACCTTTACTTAGAATATGTGAATTTTCCATTTTATTTTGTTGTAAGTCAAGACTAAATCAATCAACTGAAGCTGTTGCAAGAGCATGAGAAACCAAACCACTGAAACAATCTCATAAACATTGTGCCACTATATTAAAAAGAATACCATCAAAATAGTATTTACTTAATTTGTGCTGTTCTCACCACTAATCATGACATTCAAAAGACATAGTTTCTGCTTTGAAGAACACTGAATTCTAGAGAAATCAACAGAGAAGCTAGATAAAACCCCACAAAATCAGTAGACATATGCTTGTGTGTTTCTCTGGAAGTACTTTTCAGTATTGGTAAGCAGAAATATGGGCTTTACATGAGGGCATTTTAGTAACATGCCCTTCACTACATTTTGAATTAATTATATGATACATTAGTAAAACTTATGGAATACATGTGCTATAAAAATCCATAACAGGTTCCCATTTTTGTTCAATCAGGTTGAGTAGATAAAGTAATTATTATGGGTTGATTATTCAGGTCAGTGTTTATAATAAAAGAATAAAGCAGATGTAATTCTTGGGTGTTATGAATAATTAATGTTTTATAAGTGGCACATTGATTCTAATGATATATGAGAATATCAAACTTTAAAGAAATTTAATCATCAGAAAATTACAAAACATTAATGTGTTCTCCTGATGATAATGACATTAGGTTAAATGGGGAACTAAATCAATCAACTGAAGCTGTTGCAAGAGCATGAGAAACCAAACCACTGAAAGATTGTCATAAACATTGTGCCACTATATTAAAAAGAATACCATCAAAATAGTATTTACTTAATTTGTGCTGTTCTCACCACTAATCATGACATTCAAAAGACATAGTTTCTGCTTTGAAGAACACTGAATTCTAGAGAAATCAACAGAGAAGCTAGATAAAACCCCACAAAATCAGTAGACATATGCTTGTGTGTTTCTCTGGAAGTACTTTTCAGTATTGGTAAGCAGAAATATGGGCTTTACATGAGGGCATTTTAGTAACATGCCCTTCACTACATTTTGAATTAATTATATGATACATTAGTAAAACTTATGGAATACATGTGCTATAAAAATCCATAACAGGTTCCCATTTTTGTTCAATCAGGTTGAGTAGATAAAGTAATTATTATGGGTTGATTATTCAGGTCAGTGTTTATAATAAAAGAATAAAGCAGATGTAATTCTTGGGTGTTATGAATAATTAATGTTTTATAAGTGGCACATTGATTCTAATGATATATGAGAATATCAAACTTTAAAGAAATTTAATCATCAGAAAATTACAAAACATTAATGTGTTCTCCTGATGATAATGACATTAGGTTAAATGGGGATTTTTTAAAATAGTTCTTGAATTAATTCATATTATAGTGTTGTTACAAAATTGTCATGATTTAATGTCTAGATGTGGCATCAAAGAGAAATTGCCAAGATATTTGTTTGGATTTGTAGTACATTATAAAGTTATTAAAACATTAAACAACTTCAAATACTTCAGAAAATAGCACTTTTTAACATTATCAACTCAATTTAAATATTTAATGTCAAGAGATGTCAAAGATATTGTCAAATTCACTCATGAAGAAAAATAATGAAATCCCCATAAATATTTAGGCCACCTAATTAGTTGAGTCAAAGAGCCTTTTCTGTGTGTTGGAAGCTGGACACATTGACCATTTATTCACTTGACTCTCAGCAAATATTTACTAAGTGAGTTCATGTGTGCACAGGGCTTACTGCATTGCCTGTAAACCTCCACAAATGTTAACAGTCATCACTATTCACTATTTTCGAGGCATGCCAGGACCAACAAAAACCATTGCCCTCCTAGAGCAGCGATGGCCCTGGACATCTGCCCTTTGCCCAATTAAAGAAATGACTCTGGATACTTAGGGCATTTCCAGTTAAATATATTAGTCAATAATTCCAACTGCATATTCCAGACTGGCACTTCTGAAGAGGTTTTTATCCATTACACAAGTCATTTCATTAATTATTATTTTAATGTACTTGTAAATACTAAGTAAGGTTAAATAAATAACACTGTGAACTTACTTAAAATAAAAATTAAACTTTTAAACCTTTGTTACACTATTTAATTATGTCCTTTAAATTTTTATGTACAGAGTTAAGTACAACCATCTCAAAATATTTTGGGGGAAAACAGGAAAGGACAGTTAAAAAAAACACAACATTAAATATACTATCTCAGATGCTGTAATATGTTTATGCTTAGTTAGTTTGTACCTAATCCCAGTTAGAGCCCATCAGTACTAACGATTCAAGAATGTTGTTTAACAGTATTCTCTAATATTGGCTTTTAAAAATCAAGTATATTCATGCCTACTCAATTGCTCAAGTTTGACCTTAAAGGAACCTTTTGTTATTGTCAAATACCAGGAAATAAAAGTAATTTATTTGTGCCCAGCCAATGTGGCTCAGTGGTTGAGTGTCAACCTATGAACCAGGAGGTCACAGTTCCATTCCTGTCAGGGCACATGCCAGGGTTGTAGGCTTGATCCCCAGTAGGAGGCGTGCAGGATGCAACCGATCAATGATTCTCTCTCATCATTGATGTCTCTATCTCTCTCTCCCTCTCCCTTCTTCTCTGAAATCAATAAAAATATATTTTTAAAAAGGTAATATATTTTCCCTAAATATGCCTGGGTTTGAGAGAGCAGGAGAGAAAGTGTAGAATAAGAAACCTTGGAGTAAATATAATCAATCTATCTAGTCCTTATGGCTTCTCTTCACGCTTTTGTTGATTATTTCCATTTCCCTCTCTGGCTGCATTATTTAATGCAAGTTCCTTTGGGGTAATTGAACTTTGATACCTACTTTTTACCTGGTAGAGTGAAAGAGCTATTAGGAAGCTCCTATGAGGGCTATGAAAAACATAACTGAGAGCCCAGATAAATCAACTTACTAAAAGCAAATGCCAATTTAAAAAGAGGCACAGGGTAAAAGGGGGATAAATGGTGATGGAAAGAAACTTGACTTTGGGTCGTGAACACAATACAATATACAGATGATGTATTATAAGAGTTGTACACTTGAAACCTATATAATTTTACTAACCAATGCCATCCCAATAAATGCAACTAAAAATACATAAAAAGAGGCACAGACATTGCTTTTTGTTGTGTTTCATTACACAAATGCTTTTTAGAAAAGCAAAACAAGCAAAAGGAAATTGGAAGCAATGGCTTTGGAAATTGGGTTTATTTGGTTAAAAGATAGTCCATGTGAGTTGGGAGATTTCTTCCATGAAAATATGAAAGTCAAAGTGTGCAAAAGCTAGATGCTAGGCTAACGTCACAACAAGCAAGGACTTCTTAGGACAAAGAAAAACACAGCGCCCTCTTTATTAACTAGTGGTCAGGCCCCACAGGCACTGGTACACAGGGATGATGATAAAGACACCATCATCTTACAGCCCAAGAGTTTTGAGTTTGAGGGCTTTTTATTTCAATAACATAAAAGTCGCAACACACTAGCTCTCGTTATCCTGAGGGCAACATAAAACACAAAAGTGTGACTCCCTTCCATTTCACATTGGTGAGGTTTACTGACCAGGGATCTGGGAGCTGGCAAAAGCTCCAAGGATCTCAGGGTGGAATTGGAGTGTCCTGTAGAGCTTATAAACCAAATTCCCCTGTGCAATAAAGCTCCTCCACAATCAGCCAGGACCAATATTTTCTATTTATGGTTTATTCTTACGATGGTAGGTAAAACCAAGATAAAGAAATAAGAAGCCCGGGCCGATTTGGCGCAGTGGCTAGAGCATCAGCCTGCGGACTGAAGAGTGCCAGGTTTGATTCCAGCAAGGGCACATACCTTGGTTGCAGGCTTCATCACTGGCCCCGGTCAGGGCACGTGCGGGAGGCAACCAATTGCTGTGTCTCTTTCACATCGATGTTTCTCTCTGTGTATCTCTCCTTTATTCATTTCAAACGGGCCGGATCCGGCCCGGGGGTCGTAGTTTGCCCACGGCTGGGGTAGAGCATCAGCCTGCGGACTGAAAAGAAGTAAGTAGACATGAAGGTCAGAAAACAGAGAAAGAAAGTTTTTATAAAGCTTCACAAATCTGAAAATGAAAAAAATGAGGAAATACATGCAAATACACAAAGATTAGAGTAAATGAACCCCCCCAAAATGTATCTACAATAAAGGGAGAAAAGACCCAAAAAGAAGTCCATCGATGTTTCTCTCTGTGTATCTCTCCCCCTCCCTTTTACGCTCTCTAAAAATCAATAGAAAAATATCCTTGGGTGAGGATTAACAAAAGAAAAGAAGTAAGTAGACATGAAGGTCAGAAAACAGAGAAAGTTTTTATAAAGCTTCACAAATCCAAAAATGAAAAAAATGAGGCAATACATGCAAATATACAAAGATTAGAGTAAATGAACCCCCCAAAAATG